GCCGACAGTAGCGGAGGACGTGGCCGGGAACGTGGCAATAAAAACATATTGGTCTGTTGTCATGGGTCCTTCAGACATCGGCTTGACGGCGTGTTTGAGGAGATTGTCGCGGTCGTGGTGCATAGGAAAGTGGAAGTTGCTGGTATGTGCACAGGGGTGTTGGCGGGTGTGCGGCGGGGGCATAAGGGGGAGTGCTGTGCGTCAGGGGCTCTAAAGCAGAGCGAAGTTAATCTCGGATAGCTGATTTGATGTCGTGGCGCTCATTGGATGGCTGGGATGCAGGCAAAGGTGTGCGCTGCTGCCCAAGAAAATATCTTAGTTCTTCGCGGATGATTGTACGTATCAGGTTCGAGAGGTTTGTGTCGGTGTGCGAAGCAAGAGACACCTCAGGAAGGCGTTCGAACGGCCTCTTGAGTATTCGCGCGTTGTCGAGCTCTTCGTACTTCCGACATTCAGACACCAGTTGAGCTACGGTCGGCGGAGACTTGGGGGCTACGATGGAAAATAATTCCTGTGAGAGCCCTTTGAATAGGTGGCGGATCTCGTCAACTTCGCTCATCTCGGGGTCGACTCGGCGACACAGTCGGAGGACATCTTCGATGTAGGCGGTTGACGCTTCTGCTGTGGACTGGTACCCGTGTTGTAGTTGGTCTCGAGCCTTCTCTTTGCGGTGTTCGGGTTGACCAAAAGCGTCCGCAAACGCGGTTTTGAAGGCGTCCCAAGAATCGATGGTTTCTTCGTGGTTGTCAAACCATCGGAGCGATGTGTCTTTGAGAAAGAAGACCATATTGGCGAGCTTGAAGGAGTCGTCCCATCCGTTGTGTTGACTGACGCGCTCGTAGTTCTTCAGCCAGACATCCACGTCTGAGTCAGGAGAGCCCGTAAATATCTGAGGGTCTCGCTGTTGATGTTTTATAGTCACAGCGGGTGTAGAGCGGGTTCCGGTTGTGTTACTTTCTTGATTAGCCATGGGCGGGCGTTGGGTGGTCTGTCCACTGCGTAGCTCCAGGTTCGGGGGTGGCGAGGTGTGGCGAGGGGTAGGAAACCGCTGACCTCTACCAACCTGTAAGGCTCTGGATGGATGGATGGGTTTAATACAATGAATGAAGTTTGATTAAGATGGTGCGTCCACGGTGACCGTTCGATGCAGATCCGAGAGAGCTCAGCACGTGCACTGCCGTCTCAGCCCCGCTTCTTCTTTCTTCCTGACAGTATATGGGGAGGATGCCCCTTTGTGTGAACAGTGTGACAAACCTCTAAGTGTTCTTAATTTTCTAATTGAGTGCCCTTTCTATGAACGGAAACGCCGATCTCACTTCGCACAGTTATACAGAAAGCACATTCCCTTAAACCGAATGTTGTTATTGGGTGATGAACCATTCGTAGCTTACAAGCAGGTTTTTAAGTTTTTAGAAGCTATTGGTCTTCTACATCGACTGTGAACTTCAAAGCTTTTCACTTATGTCCATTTTTGTTTGTGACATTATCCGATTCATGTCTCATTCTTTTATTTTTTACCCTGACCACTAGAGTCCTTTCTTCTCACTTTCCCTCAATGCAATAGTTTCCTTCTTTGGCGCTCTTTGGCCTTAGCAGCCCTTGCGCCATAAAAACCCAATCCAATCCAATCGAACCGTCGACACGGAGTGCGGCAGCCGTGACCGCGCGCTGAGCTTACTAGTTCAAGGCCACTCAAGCCAGGACCAAGGACGTCATGAAAGAGGTTATTTTTTGCATGTTTTTGTGATTTTAATTTGCCTATAACTTTTAAAATAAAGCGAAAATTGAGAAATGAAAAGTTTCATTAAGTTACTACGTTCAGTGCGCTCAGGTTCGGTGCAAATTAAAAACGAGTAAAAAAGTCCTTGCAGGGCTCCTTTAGGAATAGTCTATATATACCTGAAATAATTGATGCTATTTCCCATGGAAACAATAGGAGCATTTTTTCATCGCGCATATTTGCGTGATCTCACAATTTCGGCTAATGCACCATTGAATGAGTTACTGTACTTGCTGGATTAAAATCAGCCTTGGATTAAAATGAGCCTTGTTACCAAAGGAGTTTATTAACGTTGAAGCTTGTGCTGGTTGGTATACATACATAATAACAAATACAGCGCGGAAACGAGTAAAAAGACAGAACTTTGTCCTCCTCTTCGCGCTGTTTTTGTGATTACCAAGACAAAATATGTAATTTTCAAACTCAAAGTAAACCTGATGATCGCAATATTGCTTTTCAATTTGAGAACTGTTAAGCGCGTCTTTGTTTATGTCTGTTCAGGAGCCATTATTGGGGAAACCTTAAAACGAACCCTTCATTTAAATTAAATTCATTCGAGGATCCCTACATCTGTATACTTGGTAGGAATTCGAGAGCAGAAGCAAACCTTGAATAGTTATTTACTTTACTGAAATAAGGAGTACGCTGTACTCAAAACCTTCAGCTCATGGACGGCCCACCACCATTTGCTTTAATTGCCATTTCCTGAGCAATATAAAACTAATCGAAAATTAAACTTTTAATTTAAATCTACAATGAGGTAAAATGTCCTTCTTGGGTGGAGTCCTTCCTAGTTACACCGAATACAATCTTTGTAAAACAAATAAAATAGCGCAAAAAAGACGAGGACAAGAAGTACACGGGACAGGAGCTAACTTTAAACTAGTTTTATTCAGGAAAAGCAAACATATATATACACACGACAGGCAAAACAGCACCACGTAAAAGTTAATTTTTACCCGATCATTCAAAAACTGAGATTCATTACTATGATGTACAATAGAAGTGTTGCTGACACATGCCGTCCCACTTTTTCTGATAAAGAAGGTTTCCAATAACTCTCGAGCGACCGTCTCTCGGCTTCTCCCTAGTATCCTTATCTGCTGAACTCGCGGAACACAACCACACGTGTTGCAATGGCGGAGGTTTCTGTGGTGGAGACCGCGCTACAAAAAATGAAGGGGTTGAAAAGAAAAGTCCCAACGAGGCAGAGAACAAAAAGACCAGATGTTATTTCGCACATCCACAAGGTTGCCCATAATCTGAAGAAGGTTGCAAGCAAGTACGGTGTTCCCGTTGTGTTCTCTGCCCCCAACAAGTTGGCTGCATTTCTGATGAGAAGGCAAACGCACCATGTGCTAAGAAACACGTCACCCCTCACGAGGACTGCACAGTGGGTGTGGTCTACGAAATCCTACTGAGTTGTGGTAACGTATACATCGGCCAGACGGAGCGCTGCATCAATGAACGAGCACGGGAGCACGCATTATCAGTAAAAACATAAATATGGCTCGCATTTGTCTATCCATTGCAACACGTGCGGCTGTGTTCTGCGACTTCAGCAGATAAGAATGCTAGGGAGAAGCCGAAGAGACGGTCGCTCGAGAGCTACTGGAAGCTTTTTTTATAAAAAAAAAGTGGGACGGAATGTGTCAGCGACACTTCTATTGTACTCCAAAGTAATACATATCAGTTTTTGAATGATAGGGTAAAAGATTAATAAACTTTTACGTGATGCTGCTTTGCCTGTCGTGCGTATACATATATGCTTTGCTTTTCCTGAATAAAACTAGTTGAAAGTTAGCGCTTGTCCTGTATACTTCTTGTCATTGTCTTTTTTGCGCTATTTTATATGATTCACTAAGATGAACCAACTAGCCCAACAGCGTACCCTACTAGACTAAATACAATGTTTGACATGGCTCTTATAGAATATACCTCAGTCAAGAACAAACTATGGAGCTAAATAATTGGCATATTGAACAGCTTCACGTAACAAACAATCAGCCATTTTAGAAATGATTCAGGACTGTGACTGAAAACACAACTTAAAAGATGGTGACGACGATGGCGACGCCGCTTTATGCGGAAACGGGCGCCTAAGAGCTGCACTCTATAAACAAACAGCAGAACGATACCTTTATTTAAGGCCCACGGAATAAATTGTTTTTCAAATCATATTCTTTGCTTGGTCGATTTGAAGGATGTACCCCGTGTTTACTTTATTGAATTGTATTCCAGTGCCCCTTCATTGTCAAGGATGAGGGGGGACGAGACGATGAATAGCTGAGGAAACTGGAGGGTTAATGTGGTGAGCTCGCGCCAAAACAAAATGTTCAATGATGGGCGCCGCAGGCGTCCATGTCTGCGAGGAAGAAGGATCGAGCCCTAGCGTAAGACTGATTTAGGGATCTTTTCTATATGTTCTAGATTCGGGTCGCTTCTAAAGTAGGGGACATAAAAACTGTCGAGAATGTACCGGGACGTTTCATTGGAGCAATAAATCGTAGAATAAAAACTATCAGTGGGAGCCGCGCGCGCTGCCACAAGGCCACGCACGCCATACTATGTTCAAATCGGTACAATCATTCTAGAAAAAAAAAAAAAAAAAAAAAAAAAACTTATTGTTGGCTTCTTGTTATGAACTGGTGCTGCACGAATTATTTTTCTCAAATTTTTTTTAAATATCGTTTTGTCGCTGCCTGCTGAGCGATGTATACACATGGCCTCGTCAGGCACAACAATTCTTCTTTTTACCACGTTGTTCTAGGAATCTAGATCGTGCGCAAAAATGCTCGAAAAGCCGGGATTCAAGATTACACAGCAAATACCCCCGACTTTTACAACAATGTCAACAATTTATAAGTAGACGTTTCGTCTCCTATGCGGGAGACATAATTGGTGCAGCCAAAGAACACCCGACTAGCAACCAGCAACCAAACGCTTGCTTTGTCCTTCTCTTCTCTTATGAAGAGGACAAACCAAGCCTCTGATTGCTGGTAGCTAGTCGGGTTGTTCCTAGGCTGGACTGATGATGTCTCCCGCATAGGAGAAGAAACGTCTACTTATAAATTGTTGACATTGTTATGGAAGTTGGAGGTACTTGCTTATTATAAATCTCGTGTCTGAAGAAGCGAGCAAACACGCCATTGCCCGAAGGAAACCATTTAAAGTAGCCTGTGTCAGGCTGAGTGCATTCGTCCCTTGTGGCCCGATGCAGGTGAGCGACATGCGCAGCTGCCGCTTCGAGGCGCCGTGCCGCTCGGGCGAGGACAGCTGCGCCGACTCGCGCCTTGGGTCGGACTCGGAGCACTCGTCGGATGCCTGGGCACCCCGAGCCACGGAGCAGCACGTGCTCGCGCCGTGCGCCTCCCTCGGGGGCGTGCGCCGCTGCCTGGCCTGGGCCTGCCGCGCCTGCAAGAGGCGCACGCTTGCCGTGGACAGGCGCCGGGCCGCCACGCTCAGGGAGCGCCGACGACTGCACAGGGTCAACGAGGCCTTCGAGGTGCTCAAGAGGCGCAGCTGCGCCAACCCGGCCCAGAGGCTGCCGAAGGTGAGGGCAGGCTCCAACGGCCACCAACTGCCTGCTCGAAAAATATGCCACATACTTAACTATACTTCAGCGGCGTCAAAGACAGAGTACAAGGTGCTTATAGTCGTTTCTGTAAGGTAATGTTCGTGTATTGTACCAGCGATTCATAATTTATAAATACAATAATCCCCGGAGATGGGGAATAAGGGGGACAAAGGTCAAACACAAATCTCTTAACACAGCTGGGTGACTGGTGCGGGACTGAAAAAAATCCTTCTGGTCCTGGTATCGAACCAGGCACCTGTCCATTTACATTGGAAAGCACCGCCAACTTAACCAACCAGGAGTTATACTCCAGTACAGTAAACGGGTTTTGACAGCTGCCACCGGCCTAACACCAGCAATGAACGGCCTGCTGTTGAGGTTATGATGATAATGTTATTAATACAAAGATGCAAGCGAGCTTGACAAGAATGACGATAATAGTCCCTGGAGAAGGACGATAATAGTCCCGTTTGCTGTACCGGCGTGTAATTCCTGGTTGGCTCAGTTAGTAGAGCGCTCCAGTGGAAATCGGCAGGTCCCTGGTTCGATACCAGGACAAGGAGAACAAAGGAACAACAGAAATCTCCAAATAAAGCTAGGTGACTGGTCTGCGACCGAAAAAATCCGCTTGGTCCTCGTATCAAACCAGGAACCTCTCTTTTTCCATTGGAGCACTCTACAAACTGAGCTAACCAGGAGCTAGACATCAGTAGAGCAAGCGGGTTTTGTCAGCTGTCACATTTGCATTAATTGCAACATCATGATAATAATCCCTGGAGAAGAAGAACAAAAGGGAAAAAGGCCAGACACAAATCCCTAAACAGATCTAGATGACTGGTGTGCGACTAAAACAAATCGCCTGGTCCTGATATCAAATCAGGGACCTCTCCATTTTCGTAGAAGCGCTCTGCCATCTGAGCTAACCAGGAGTTAGACGTCATAGAGCAAACGGGTTTGAACAGCTGCCATCAGTCTAACCCCAACAATGGTGAAGGTCCTACATTTTAAGGTTATGATAATGCATCTAATGCAAACGGGGCAAGAGAGCTGGACAAGAATAACGATAATAATCCCTGGAAAACAAGGGGGACGAGAGAAATAATTTTTTTACTAATGAAGCTCTTAAATGTGATGTCTAATAATACTTTGGAGCCATTTCACTCTGTGAACGTCGTTGGCCTACGAGAGCTGTGGAGCATTACCACAAATGAATCACCAAGAGACACACGAAAGCACTTCACCAAATGTTTTACTGTATATATCATTTTGAAACGGTATTGATGATTGCTGTGTGATCACTGTGATATACACTAATGGATTCCATTACAACTTCGGTGAAATTCTTTGCAAAAGATAAATCTACACATGACCGATGGCGCTCGTCATAGGCACGTTGCTCTTGGGGAGTCCTAACTATACGTGGCCTTCCCATAGCAACTGCAGAACACAATGGGATGCTCTGCTCGGCAGCTGCGGCTTTTATATATGTAAAGCAGTGACGTCATCCGACTAGAGCAGGAGAGGGCCCTTTGTTCTCTGATGTATCTCCCTTAACACACGTTTCGACGTATTTCCTTCTAAAAATGAATATCTAGGTGACGAGGCGCATATGCCTTTCCATAGGATAGAGCGCTCTTACATGCAATTTCTGACTTGTTTTTTGCACATTTATACCAAAAATGCATGGAGTGTTAGTCATATACAGCTTCGATGTAATATAAATATGCTGTACGTTTGGAGAAATTATACTTCTGGTTGCGTTGTCGTTGCCGTCACGTTCGTTTATTCAACATTTATGGCACCATGGCCAATGTGACGCATTGCACAGATTCACAACGAACGTTTTCAATTTAGAAGTAATTAAGTACAAACTAAACCTGAAATTGATATTCATTGTAAGCAATATTTGAAGTTTAAAACGACCTTGCATCTTGTTTAAAATGTGACGTGACAGATGTCACTGCGCTCTCACTTTCGTTCGCTGTTTTCTGTAGTTCTATATTAAATCCCGTAATAGCCGCGGAATCAGCAGGTGCGTCTCCACCGGGGCTTCCTTCGTCAGCTTCTTTCCAGACAGTGTTTCCAGAACAATCTGCTTTTGTAAACGAAACGTGACAAATTGTGCTCAACGTGTCCTGCAAACTTCGCTTTGAGTCTCCGAGCGAGTCGTACAGAGCGATCGTCGAAACAACGTCTGAGCTGTGGCGAATGCGGAAGAAAAGTGCCACAGCAACATGTCCGGTGTCGCCGGCAAAAATAGGTTTATTCCTCTGTGCCGCATGCCTTCATTGGCGTTGCAAAAATAACAAAAGCAGCTTCATCTGCCACACGTGCTTCGTCAGTCACTTCCAAACAGATATCTGTGATGTATGTTAGTAAAGCTTAGAGTAGTTGATATGGGTACTTCTAAATCCGACACGCGAGCCCAGGCCTGCGAGTCCATGCAGGCGAGACATTTAGCAAGGGTGTTAGGTTGCAGTCGGCGTTCCATTGTCCAGGGCCCAGGCCTACCTGACCCGTTGCGTGACGTAAAAGTCTCCAATTTTTCGTGGGGCACAAAAAGTGAAGCGAAGAGTTTCTGCGGAGCCTGCTCCCGCTCTACGTGTAAGGTCTTTGTGTCAGCATACCGTGCCATCGTACCGATCCCACTCACAGAATAGAGACTGAACAGCTGCGCGTCAGCCTCGGTACGTCAAGCGGTTCCAACCACGATCACCAAAAATACTTGAACTGGCCCAGTAAATCGACCAGAGAAGTCAGAATTTTCTCAAACTAATCAGACAAAAACGTTTCATTCGCACCGCGCCCACGCCGGACTTTCAACCAGCGCCGTTTTAACTTGCGCACTGATACACGCCAGAAAATCCAGGTGACGTCACTTTTAAACTGGACCTAGATTCGGTGTGGCGGCTCGTAGCCATCGGCTGCGGTTCAACACAAGATGAAACGAAGGGGAATCCATTGGGCTTAGTTGGTTGCGCGTCTACAGCAGCAAATATAGCGGTTCTGCTACGGCGAAGGAAAGCGAGGGCTGCCGAGATGCCGGATTCGTCGAGAGCGCAAAGACGGCTCCCTCCGCAGTCTCGAAGGTGCGACGAGAGATGGCGGAAACCTGCCAATTCAAATGGGCCCGAGGCTTCGCGCTAGCAACTGCTTCCCGTGTCGACGATGTATTCTGGTTATTCTGGGACGCTGGGGAGAAAGAGCGAGATTTTGAAATGTTTTCTTCGAATGTTCAAAATGATTTGAAAAGGAGGCAGCATGGCTGGTTGCTTCATATCGACTAGTCTCTTCAGATGGTTATGGTGTACGACTTTCGTTTTCTTTTTTCTGTTTTCGTTGGATCCGGTGAACGCGGTTGGACAATTTCTTGGAGACGACATAGCCCTTAGAAAAATGTCCTATATGAGCCAGATAGTTTTCCCAAGGAGTATATTAGCATATGAGCAGGTAAATATATGGAAAGGGGACTTTCTATATGACCACGTGTGGTAACGGATATGCCCAATTATGGTGTCAATTAAATCCATAAATGGCTATATGTAGTCGACTATATGGCATGTTCTCATATTTAGTCTAATATGTCAAAATATTATACACCCATATATAACATGTATTTTTCCCATATTTAGACTTATATGAAAATATTATATGGTCCTTGTCTGACTGCATTTTTTATAGAAAAAATAACGCCAGATATAGGAATTTATAGAAAATATGACATCTTGACAATTCTAAATTCTAAATTTCAATTCTTATTAAAAAAAAAATCCTTGTCTTTCAATCACTGCTATATCTCCACGCGCAACGGCATCTTGCGGAAAACCCCAATCTGTTTCTGACAGTGGTTTGATTAAAAACTTACAAGCATGGATTTGTATCTATTCCTCGCGTATTTTTGTCTGAAAAATTTAAAACTACAACAAGAACGTTGTTTCTATTTTAATTGCATATTTTATTCCCTCTCGCACGCACATGTTTCTCGAACATTACAAAAAAATGTTTACATGCTCGTTTCGTTCGAAATTTCTTTCGTGACTTTATCACCAAAAGGATAAATCAAAATGCAGCTTGGAAGAGCATAATCAAGTCTAATGAGTTGTTTCTCATTGAAGGTGATGTGACATTTAGCTAAACATAAATAAATTCCCTAATAAAAAATACTTTAGCTATTGCGATTCGAAAATTTTGGTTAGGGTTAAAGGGAAGCTGAAGGGGTCCTTGAATTCGACCAGACAGTAAAAGTTGTAATGTAAGCGCCTTAAAAATTATGCGTCTTAAGTTTTATTACGATCCTATTAAAAGGAGCGTCGTAGTAGCCCATTAAAATTTGGAGGTAGACACGCCCGTTGCGGCGCTCCGAGGGTAGCAAACTTAAGGTCCCTTGACACTTCTTTTCCAAGTAACGACAACCAACACAAATGACAAAAGACATTCCGCTGGAACAAAATGGCGGCATTCGGCTCAAACCTCTACTGTGCGTTCACTTCGTAAAACCTGCACCGTCACGCAGTTGACGCATCAGAATGTGTCGCTACTTGCTCTTATCTATAGGGACTTTAAGGAAACTAGCGAAATCAGCAAAAGTGACGTGACCAGCGGGTGCTCGGCAATAGGCTGGCTCGGGGATGCCGACAATGACGACACGACGTTCCGGACAGATAACAAACGGCAAAGAGGATAGCCGCATGCATGGCAGCAATCGCTGCGAGTAGTTTACAAAATAGATGCACGTTTACGTTCACTTCTGCCCAAGAAATGTGCGATAACAGAATTCAAGGGACAGAGAGCTATTGGCGAGGAGATGGAACTATAGGGGCGCTACGTCCTGCTTGTTTTCCTCGGAGTTCTGTGTTTACCGACACAAGACACGCGCACTGGACTATTTACTTCAGCCTTCTCCATTGAGCGCGGGGCAAAGATTGGGCATGACTCTTGCCCAATTGTTTGACTGCGTCCACGTTCGGCTTCACTGGTGGAACACAAGCGGAACGCTGACGCAACATTGGGCTGCGGGGGGTCAAACGCTGCGTCATAATCTACGCTCTGGTTGTAGCCATTGGCCTAGATCTCAATTTAGTCACTAGAAGCCCCTCGGTTGGATCCCTTTCGCGATAGATGTCCGCTCCTGACTCAGATTTCTTAAAAAGTACTTCAAATTCCCTTTAAGTCTAATTAACACATATGTATACCTCGTGCGCTCAGCTGCGCTGTTAAGCCGCTTGAAGGGTTTAATGGCAGCTTTGGTAGGCGACTTTATGCGACGAGGCCTGCCAATGCTGCCCTTTTGAAAATAATAAAAGAAAAAGAAACACGTTGCATTTTAACTGGTAATAGCAGAATTTGAACGGCACGTACTGTTGTTGGAGTGGCAAAATTGGAGATCACGCTACTGCAATGGTTGTTTCGCTCCGGCAGCTCGAGGGAGATAGACGTGCTGCGCCGAGCTCCCGCCCGCCTATCATTTTATTATCAAAGTGATAGCGGCGCCTGCACTGGAAGAAGTGCCGGTTTGCAGATACCCGAAGGACCGGGCAAAAACTACTTCCACCGAAAGTCCTCACCGCTGCGGACCCCCGGAAGCAACCTTTGACTGGGTGAGCCAAATTTTCACCAGTTTTGACCAAAACCACTAGAACGCGGGGAAAAGTAGCTAGACCCAGCGAAGCCTACTTCACCGGCGCGCCGGCGGCGCTCTTCGCCGTCGAGTGGGCGTCCGGGGGTCCCTCCCCACCCCCCGGGCTACCCAAGCATGGAGCCGACTGGACAGCCGACTGATGTAAACACCATGCCCGAACTCGAGGATATGGACGAGGTGCAGGGCGAAGCCCATACCAATAATACCCCCGGTAATGACGAGCCGCAATCAGCGGAGGAGACAAACTTTCCGCCCTGGATCAAGATACTTAGCCGGAAACAACAAAGACTTCAAAACCAGGCCTACCGGAAGACTCTAGAAGAATCTAGACGGAACGACGAGCAACCACCCCCTGGCAAGATGCTAACGGGCGCGAAAACCCGCCAGACGTCGAAACCGCGGAAGCGACAGCTCCCACCGCTACCGATTGAGGATTACAAAGTGGTCGTCCGGCCCTTGGATGGTCTGAACCTCGGAGCTTGGGGCCCCGATCAAGTCTACCGAGCCATCAAGTTGGCGGCGAAGCTCACTCCTCTCGAGACTGCGGAAATCAAGACGAGGCTCCGTAAGGACCAGAACTTGGCCGTTGTGAGCACTCCAAGTGTCGACACGTTGGAGCGGCTTTGCAATATCTCCTCCATCGCACTCGGAGAAAAGCAGTTCCGAGTAAAACCTTACGCCGCCATGCCGGACGACTCCTGTAAGGGGGTCATCTCGGGTCTCACATCTCGGCCCTCGTCCGAGTGGCTCACTGAAGAACTCAATGCACGGAACACCAACTACATAGTCCTGAACGCTCGAATGATGGGTAGTACGACCTCAGCCATCATCACTTTTCACGGACTCAGGGTTCCCCGCCTAGTGTATATCGATGGCGGCGAATTTGAGTGCAGGGTCTACAGACCCAAAAAACAAGTCTGCACTAAGTGCCTAGGACTAGGACACCGAGAGGACGTGTGCCCTCAGCCTGAAAAGCAACGATGCTCAAAGTGTGGAACTGAAGGCAGTGCCATGGACTCCCACGAATGCGAAGCGAAGTGCGTGAATTGTTGCGGGGCTCACCCGGCTACGGACCCTCGATGCCCCGCAAGGCAGCGAGCACCGTACAACAAGTCACGCGTTCAGAAGTACCTGCAGCAACAACAACATGGCCGCCATCAGCAGGGAAGTCAACGGCCCCAGCACGTGGCTTCACCGCTTCAACCCGGGCAAGCGACCCAGGCTGTACCCCCCGAGGAGCAGTGGCCACGACTACCAACGAGGGGATGGGCGAACCAAAACCCGTACGCTCTGCTGGCCTCTGAAGCACTCGACAGCAGCCCAACGTCGACGGGCCCTCAAGGTTCAGACACCCGCTCCGGATCCAAGCGGGCCCGGAGCAGATCCAAGGCGAGATCTCGCTCCCGCAGCCGAGCCCGATCCCGGTCGAGACGGAGGATGCAGCAACAACGGTCGGCGCAGGAAGCTGAAACCCGAAAATCAAGGAGCCCCGGTCCAGAGGCCCCGAAGGTGAGCTGGACAGGGCAGCAGCCTCCCACTCCCTCCCAATTCCCCGCATGCCCCCCTTCTCCCGCTCCTAGATCCAGCGTTAGGACACAACACCACACACACAAACAAAACACTCAGCACACGTTCATTGAAAGCAATCCTTGTGCCACCGACACTTCCTTCTTGGACACCTTGAGGCGTGAACTCAGGGCGGAAATGCAGAGCTATCGAGATGAGCTCCGCATGATTAGGGAGGAGATGCAGAGATCTAGGGAGGAACTTAAAAAATCTAGACTTGAGCCACTCGGTCTCAGCGAAGAACTTAAACGCGAAGTAGCCAAACAGATCGCCGAGGCCAGACTTGGTATTAGCAAGGAACTGGATCACATGACCACTACACTCAAAGGGGACATGCAGACTGGCATGGACAACGCCCGTAGACAAATCCTTAAGGAAAATAGAGCCCAACTCCCTGAGCTGGTTCGAGACATTCTCTCCGCGATGCCTCGACACAGGCTCGGGGTAAAGAGCCTCAAGGCAGCGGGACACCGCTCGTCCGGAACAGGGTCTCCCCCAGTTACGCACTTAAGCTTATCCCAGAACCATCCCCAGAACTTTACTCAGGAACAACACAATGGAACGGGACAGTAACAGAGTCAGAGCGGCGGACCACCCGATCCTCCGCAAACGCCCACCCAGTAACATACGCGTTTGGCAGTGGAACTGCAGGGGCTATCGGCGCAAGCGCGGGGCGCTCACGCAGTTCCTCGCCACACTCGACGAAAAACCCGAAGTTATCGCAATGCAGGAAACCGCGTGTACACCGGCACTCTCGGGATACGTGACTTGTGCTTCAAAACCGGAACACGAGGGCGTACCTCCGAGGGTAGCCACTCTCGTAGCCAAACATCTACCGTTCATTCCACATCAGTTAGAAAGGGTCACTGGCATACCATATGTCTTTCTCGAGTTGCTCCCGCAGAAAAGCGGACAGAGCAGTCTTTTCGTCCTTAATTTGTACAGTTCACCAAGGGCGAAAAAAGACACCTTTGACGCAATCTTTAGAGACGCTATCGCCTTAACCAAACCGAGCGAGAACACGCTTCTCATAGTAGGGGATCTGAACGCGGCCCACCCGGCATGGGGATATTATCAAGAGTCGGTGAAGGGACGAAAACTAGCCACGGCCATAGACAGAAATCAGCTTACGCTCCTCAACGAGCCGGATCAGCCCACGAGGGTAGGGAACAGCGCGAGCCGCGACACGTGCCCGGACCTCTCCCTCGCCAGAGCGAGAGGCCCGTGCACGTGGACCAACCTCCAGGAGAGTCTGGGCAGCGATCATTTTATCATTGAAATTCAAGTTCCAGTGCAGGCTCATCGTAGACACAAGAAGGCCCTGCGGTTGGTCAACTGGGACTCGTTCCGCCAGCTCAGGGCTCAGACAAACGCCGAAGAGATAGATGAAAACGTACCATTGGCACAATGGGTAAGAAAACTCCACGCCGACATTCAGAGAGTAACCAAGACAGTTCAGACGACGGACAAGGCGCCCGTCGTCGACCCGCATCTTCTTCATCTATGGGAAGCCCGGCGTGGCCTAACTAAAAGATGGAGAAGACAGAAATATAATCGGAAACTAAAAATTCGCATAGCCAAAATTACCCAAGAAGCCGAGCGTTATGCAGAGGAGCTCACCCAATCTAATTGGCATAAACTATGGGACAAACTACAAGGTACCCTAGGAACTAGGCAGACCTGGAGTCTGCTCAAGAGTCTGCTTGACCCCACAAAGACTAGGACCGAAACCAACAAGGCTATAATAAAACTTGTTCATCAAACGGCACACAACGGGGAGAACGCCTTGTGGGAGTTCCTAAAGGAACGTTACATCGCATCCGGCCCCAGACCAAACTACCGCCCATATCCCCACGAAGAAGCAGACCATCCGCTGGATCAGGACATATCTGAATACGAAGTTAGGGGAATACTCACTGGCCTAACCCGCAATAGCGCTCCCGGAGAGGACGGAGTCACGTACAGGATTCTCAGGAATCTGGACGATGCCTCCGTTTCGGCCCTCACATCATACTTTAACAGGGTATGGAGTACCGGTGTCCTCCCACCGGAATGGAAACACGCCGAGATCACCTTCATCCCAAAACCTGGGAAGGCTCTCACGCTAGAAAACCTTCGTCCCATTTCACTAACATCGTGTATAGGTAAGCTTCTGGAACACATAGTTCTCAGACGCCTTCAATCCCATCTCGAAGCTAACAGATTTCTTGGGGACACAATGTTCGGGTTTCGACAAAATCTGTCAGCACAGGACGTCCTCCTACAGCTCAAAGAGGACATCCTAGACTTTCCTGGAAGAACGCAGACGAGAGCGGTACTCGCGTTGGACCTTAGAGGAGCTTTTGACAACGTGTCTCACGACGCCATTCTCGAGGGCTTGACCAGAGCACACTGCGGCAAAAGAACTTACGATTATGTCCGTGCGTTTCTGACGGACAGGACCGCTACTCTAGGGCTGGGAGATCTTCGCTCCCAGCCCATCAAGCTCTCGGGGAGGGGAACGCCACAGGGTTCCGTCCTTTCGCCGACTCTTTTTAATATAGCCATTTCAAGTCTCCCGACCCTGCTGGGGGCCATCCCTAACGTCAGGCATGCTCTGTATGCAGACGACATCACCATCTGGACAAGCAAGGGTTCGGATGGTGAGATACAGGACGGACTTCAGGAGGCGGTCGAAATCACTCAAAAGGTTGCAGAAGCAGCAGGACTAACTTGCGCCGCCGACAAGTCTGAGCTTCTACTCATTAGAAGCAAACCTTGCACTAAAGCAGATGAAATTTGTTTAAATCTAAATGGAGAGAAGATACCCACAGTCGACAGACTCAGAGTACTCGGCCTACATATTCAGTCCAACGGCAAGGCATCCTTCACCGTGCAAATGCTTCGCAGGCAATGCCAGCAGATTGCCCACCTCATACGAAGGGTGGGCAATGGACGTGGCGGGCTTAAAGAAGCCGACACCGTGAGAATTGTCCAGGCTCTTCTAGTAAGTAGAGTTGTCTACCATTGTCCTTTCCATAACTTTAAACGCAGAGAGATAGACACTCTCAATACGATCCTCCGAACTGCTATAAAAACGGCGGTTGGATTGCCTCAGCATACATCCACGCAGCGCCTTCTTCGACTTGGTATTCATAATACTATAGAAGAACTGATTGAGGCTCAGGCTGTTGGACAGCGTACAAGACTCAGCTACACACAGCCTGGAAGAAATCTCTTAGCCAGGCTCGGCTACAAACCGCTTAATAAAGAACAGGGCTGCATGCGGCTAAAATCTGTCCCACCGAGCATTGCGGCTAAAATACGAGTTTTGCCCCTACCAAAGAACATGCATCCCACTCTTAATGCAGGTAGACGCCTCGCGCGTACCCGCTACCTAAGGCTCAAGTATCAAAACGACCCAGACGTCTGTTACACTGACGCTGGGGAGTACACTTCCCCACGTGAGGCAAAATGCATAGTCGTCTGCGACTCGCTTGGACGAGGTGAAGCGATAGCGTCTCTCGCCGCTCCCACATCGATCGCGGAGGCCGAAGAAGCGGCAATAGCATTAGCCGTAGCACGGATTTCGCGTAAAACTGAAAACACAGACAAGACCTGTACCATAATCACTGATTCACAGCCAGCGTGCAGGGCGTTCGCGCGATGCGTCGTCTCACAACGAAGTGGGCACATTCTAAACACAGTTAATCAAAGCTCACTACCCGCAATCCAGATAGTCTGGACTCCTGGACATACCTCCCTCTCTGGCAACGAGAGTGCGGATGCACTCGCCCGAGAAATAGCCGGCCGGGCGTTGCATGGGGAAGGGGAGGCACCGGAGAATCACAACATGACCACCTCGAACTTACGCACAGAGCCAACACCGCTACACACGTACAATCAAATCACGGCATTTTACAGATCACAGCGTAGAACACTACCCCCTCCGCACAGGGACCTATCTAGGCAGGAAGGGATTGAGTGGCGACAGATACAAACACACACTTTCCCAAATTTGTACCACAAGCATCTATTTTTTCCTAACAGATACCGGGGCACCTGCCCCGGCTGCCAATCCCCCGAACCTTCCCTTTTCCACTCTACCTGGGCCTGCCCCTCTCCACCGGGGCAAGGCATCCTTCCCATCCCTGACCCATCCTTTACCTCCTGGGAGGCTGCGCTGTCTAGCGCAAAGCCCGAGGACCAGCGAATGCTGATCTCTCGGGCTAAGCGGATAGCAGAGGCCAACGGGGCCCTGGACTAGGGGCTCCCGACCAGAGAGAAAACACTCCTGCCTTTTCCCTGAATAAAGTTTTTCCTCCTCCTCCTCCTACTGCAATCTGAAAAAAAAATAAAAAAAAATAGAAAACCAAATGCACGAAGTGGATAAGGGAGCTCGCCAAACTGGCGGCTTAATGGTCGAAACTGCTCGAACAAAGCACAAACTGGACAAGCTGAAAAAAAGAAGAAAAGAAAATGGCTTCGCCATATCGGTGGTTGAACTATCATTCTGTCGGTTGAGTCGGTGAAACTTCTAGCTAATCTGGTAGATGGATTGTGAAACGTTTCAAACTGCTAATCGACCTGAAGTTTTTTTCGGGACAATCACGACGTCGGGCTTCTCGAGGTGCGTTCGAAGCGTAATATTTAGAAGAGCGACGGATGCTCGCAATAATTATGGAAGTAGCCGATCGGCATGTACAAATCATGACAGACAGAGATAAAACTAAATCAATCAATCCATTAATCAACCAGCGTGTAGTCAAGTGTCCAGGAAGAACCACCGGGCTTTATGATGGCGGGTTTCAAAAATAATAGCAACAATGAATTAATAATAATAATGATAATTGTTAATAAATTAGTGTTTATTACTGTATTCTGGAGCATCCACTAGTCATAATACTGGCACAGTTCAATAAAACACACACACACACGCGCGCTCGAACGCACGCGTGCACGCGCGCACATGCGACGCGCACACACAGAGCACACAAGCTCACACACGCAAGCGGACGCATCCAGATTCGCGCGCACACCCACGCTCGCACACAAGCACACACACGCACACACGCACATATGATGAAGGAAACGTAGATCAAAATAGTTTCGGTTTTACGCAGGAACACAAATAATTTTGAATATATTGAGCTTAAAGGTTACCATTGAGATTACACGAGGCATCGGGGTCCCTTCGTCGCGTGTTCTGAGGGGGTTGATTATTCTTTTACTCTGACGTGTGGCAAGCGTTACGTGGGCCAGGCGGGCCGCTGTCTCAAGGACACGTTAAGAGAGCACGGATACAGTGTCTCCACAACCGTTTCTAGTCATCTTGGCATTCATGGCCGCCACTGCGGTTGTCTACCGACTTGCAACGGTGTGAGGTCGTTAAACGTCACAGGGACCAGCTCACTCGGGAAATTTTGGAGGCTGTTGAGATAGCGAGGCTGGGCGCTGCATGTGTAAGCACTCCTCCTGTGGCTTCAGCTGTGTTTGAGACGTTGTGTTGTGTTCGTCCCCTTCTTTGTTCCTGATTCTCGGGTTTTTATTACCATAAATCACCACCAGCTCCGTTGTATTTTTTTAAATATTGTTCCAAAAATTTTCTAGTTCCTTGACTTCCTTGTTCTTTAGCACGTGTCCTGCACGGCAGTGTCATGACGCCTTTTTTGTTGGTGATGTTCACGTTTGCTGAATTTTTTGTTCGTGACAAAGGATGTATATATTGCGATTTTGCAATCAATAAACTCAACTGTGTTACCTCTTCGTCCGTGTTACCTCTTCGCCTGGTCCTTCGTCTTTTGCGCTGTTTGTAATCCCGAAGGACTTAAGATTAACTTTTTATATTTTCTTACATTATTATTGAATGAAGAGGTGGAATAAATTAGGTTTATAAGAGTTGGCAACTTGACCAGTTTGGTGAAGGAAGGGCAAGGGTGTGAGGAATTAAATCCATCGCACACATGAGTTTTCACACGCGTAGCTCCACAGTGCGAGCAAGGTTTTCTTTTGGTTTCCTGTTTGGTTGATCTACTCTTCATACGAAGACACTCCCGGCGGGAGGCGTGTTTGTCTTGCGTTTTTCAGTCCTTCACACTACCAGATGTCAGATGAGATGTTTGATCCTGGAGGCTTCGTCAGGGGAGCAGCTGCTGCAACGTGAGATCGATGGGGGTTGTGATGCCACTTCGCCACCCCGTCGTCTGTGATGGCGAAGCTCTTTAGTTTGGGCCCCTCGAAATAGTCTTCTGGGTAGTGGATTCTCGAGGGTGTGTATATGATCATGGGGTCTCTTTATTCGAGGTTGTTTTCGTCCTCTCTTTCTTTTTCTGGGCTGTGGTCGAGGGCCCGACGGGAGATCGGCACGCCCTATGAGCGGCGAGAACTGCAAGCCTCGTTCGACAGGTTGTGCGTGGCCTCGTTGTCCACCTAACCGGTGCGCCCCGGCAGCCACTGGATTCGGACTGAAATGTCCCTCTGGTTATGGATCCTCCGACACCCGTTCTTGATTGCATACTCAGTGGTTCTCATCTTGGGTTTGCCGAGTAGTGCGCGAATTGTTGTGTAGCTATTAGTGTAGATTGTAATCTTCTTTGTGTGCACCGTCACCATTTTGGGAATCTGTGAGAATCCAGTTGATCCCGACGGCATTGGCCCGGAGCTCCCCTTCGGTGGTGGAGGGTGCCTCATCCAGACTAAAAAAATAATCCGTTACAAGTAACGGATTACCTGTAATCCGTTACTTGTTCAAGTAGTTTTGTAATTGCCCCGTTACTTTTTTTCGGAAGTAATTTGTAATGTAATTTTGTTACAAAATATTCGTAACGGATTACTTTAGTTACTCGTTACTTCCTAAAAATATGGGCATAATAGAGTAGTTGGAGCAATACGAGCAGAACATTAAGGAGCATAAAGAGAGTAAGTTCAGCAAAATAGAAAACATCACGAAGCGGAGAATAGCCGAAAAGAGAACACTACTTTTTGTATGACCGGCCACGAGAACCACTAGAAAAACAGGCAAGGCATGTACAAATATACGAAAGAAAAATATCAAGTAAGACAACGCCGTGTAGGCTCTCGGTCGCCTTCTATCGTGATTTTTTTCTTCTCCCGGGGCAGGAGAAAGTTCTTCGCGTTTACTTGTTTTTGTCTTTTACACCGTTTCCCCCTTTCCAACTTCTTTGACGTCTCCCGCCACCTGCACAGACATCAAACGCAGGTCCGTACCCCTCGATTCGCGGGTTCACAATTCGAATTACAGACGATGTAGCCTCACGCGAGGGGGTCGAATTCTCTTTGTCTTTGATGAGCGCTACTGAATTCTAGCACGCTCTTGAGGTACGGCTGAAAAGCGCCTGGCGCGAGGCTAAGAGCATCGTCTTCGAGTGTACAAAGGATACTTCTTTTGGTTTACTTGTCTGGGCATGGTGGTCGAGTCCACTCCTCACTTTACAGTCAACTGCCAACATAAAAGGGGGGGGGGGGGGTTAGGCCATCTAAGGAGTGCTGACAGAGAGAGAGAGAGAAACGCGTAAAAGTGATGTGATCCTCTATTGTTTCGTGAGACCGATGGCCACCGCTTCTCTCGCTCTCTATGCCCCCCCCCCCCCTTCCCTAGACTCCACAAATATTGATATAAAAGTGAGAACCGATGAACGATCGATAACCCGTTACCACCATTTTTACTCTTGACTGGTCCCGTTTTCGGTCATAGAGTGTCCGTCGTCTCCATGGCCATCTCTTAATGAGATGTTCAAAATTCAGGGCATTAAGGAGAACGGAAACCTATAGAGGTTTCGGTGCATACTTTGCTTGCCAAAAACATACACACCATTGTCATCAGTAAGAACAACAAACTAATCTACCGAAACACATCAAGATAAGCTGGGACACCCGCATTCTGCATTGGCTATACATTGTAAAGCTAGAACCAAGTTTTTCTTTTCTTGTGAATAACAGGCGAAATATCCGAGTCAAAAGAGGACTTTCATATATCCCTACTTTAGCTCCGAATATCGTAGCGGAGGTAGACGCTGCTACTGAGCATGCGCACCGCTAGCTTTGTTTGCACAGTTCCAGGGATCATTTCCGGAGGCCTTAAGCTAGCGGGACGGTGGGTGTGGTTGCAACTTTCGGTGCCTTGTCAGCTTACAGGTGAACCGAGTGCACCTACACTCTTTCTCTTAAATGCAATAATTTACTTTTACAAGGACTACCATAATACGGGCTATGAAAAAGAAAAATTATTGTTGCAGAACATTTTTGAAAAATATCAAGCTTGTTTTATTTGCTTTCTGGCTAAGTGTACGAAAAAAGTAACGTGAAAACAATTTGTAACGTAACGAGTAAAGTAATCCGTTACTTTTCAGCGAAAGTAGTTTGTAACGATAATTCATTACATTTTTCAAGTGACGAGCACAAGTCCGGCCTCATCCAGGTAGTAAGTTGCCCACCGGTTCCAGCCGTCATCGGTTCTCAACCCCTGTGGCAGTGATGCGAGTGTGCGGATTTCACGATGCGTCCGTGAAGAGCCGCATCTCGGTGGGGTCTGTTGAGGGCTCGTGAATTGCGCGGGCGATGGATGGATGGTAATGGCTACACCATTTGTAACGGGCGGCAGCTTGCACCGCCCAGCCTAAGATTTCGTCGTTGCTTATTTTTTAAAATTTGTATAAACTTGGTTCTAACACAACCCTCCCCTTATTTTATTCCATTGCTTATTTTTATCTGAATTTTTACACCTCCCTAGATCTCTTCCACCAATCTTCCATTCTCCTCTTAGTTACCGCAATTCTTTCCCTATCTACTCGTGTATCCATGTTTGCAAATTCCAGTGCCCCCTCCAAATCCGTAGTCATCCACCCAAGAGGGTGGGCCCAAAAACCGTGCACCTTAAAATTACATGTTTTATAGTTTCCCTTTCGCGTTTGCATACGTCGCATAGAGTGCCTATTTCATAGAGTTTAGCTCTATATGTGTTCGTTCTTAGCACTCCCGTTCTAGCTTCAAACAGCAATGAGCTCCCCAATGAATTATACAACTGTTCCTTCTTTATTTTTTGTTTGCTTTTTGTGCTTTGTATATTTTTAGAGTCGATTTCCCCTGCATTCTCTCTTCCCACAATTTCCTCTCTGTTTCCTTTACTCCCTTTTCTACTGATATGCTCTGATCGGCACCATATCGTTGAATGTATTTAGATCTCAGCTTGCGGGTTCGGTTTGTTCACTTTCTGTTTAGACTTTTCATATATAGAAACTTGTACACTTTGCCTGCCCACCGTGTATCCTCAATTTTAGCTAGTCTTTGTTCAAATATTACTTTACTGATCGCTTC